TTCCTGAAGTTAACAGTAGGGAATGGCCAGGTTTTGATGTGCGCACAGAGCCAGATACGAACTCTTTATTGCTGATTTTATTAATTTGTTGAACAAACATTTATCAATCACTTGTGAAGTTCCAGGTGTTAGGCATTAGGGATGCTCTAAAAATCTCAAACCACACATAATCTGCTCTGAAAACCCCAAAATGCTGTGGTCATTCTCCTCCCCACCTTCACCACCCGTGCCATTTCTCACTTCCAGCCACCAAGCATGCTGAGCCCCTCCTGAGAATGTCCTCTTCCCCTCCTTGCCTGGTGAACTGATGTCCTCCATCATTCCTCCTGCTCATCTGCTGCTACCTGGGCCCCACTTTGCAGCATCATGGGAATTGCCCTGTTGTTTTTCCTCTTCTCTCCTTGGTGGCTTCTTACTCAGTTACACACTCTGTTACGAAACCCATATCTGCTTACACAACTGCACAAGGTAGCCCTAGGTGTTAAACCCCAAGGGTCACCAGGTAGCCAGCTGAGCTAACACCTGAGACCCCAAGCTGGGAATAGCCGCCACCCTGGGTGTTCTAACAGGGAAAGAGGCAGAGTAGGAAGCCATGGGGGCTGCCTCCCGGGGCCCAGCATAGACCTTGGCTCATTATAAAATCGTGATTGAACTAATGAATGACTTTAAAGTTACAAAGTGTCTCCATAGTGTTATTTCTGCCTCCTTCTCCCCACTCCACCCCCTAGCAAATATATACTATTTGGGAGCAAAAATGTCTAAATTCTATATACCAGACTTTAAAATGAGCTTTGAAGTAAGGACTGCTTTTTTTGTTGTTGCCATTTAAAGCAACGCTAGATAAACCGATTTTTCATTGCTGCTTCTCATGACATAAAAACCCAGGAACCCTGTGGTTCTGTGAGTTGCCATCCATACACTGTGCAACAATGGTAACCCGGCACTAGAGAATACAAGGTCTTTCATCCATGGAGAAAATCAACAACCTTAAAAGGTAGAGCCTGTGAATATCTAGTGGTTTTCTTCCCCCCATGGTTAGGGAATTGCACCAAAAGATATATTTGAAAGTGTAAAGCAACTTGATTATAATCTTTAAGCAAAGAAAATTTCTACCCGTTGCATTAAATGATCCTTTAGAGACCATCACTCTGTGGCCAACCTACCTGGCTGAATAAAATACCACCTTCAGGGTTTACTTTAGGTCTTCCTCACCTGCAAATTTGGAAAAGTTCTTTGCCCCCTGTTAATTTCAGCACATTGAAAGGCACATGTAGCTTGCAGAACAATGGGCGAGCTGCCCGATTTAGTCCAGCACTGTGATTATTTTCTTTCTGAATTATAGTGTGTAATGAAATGCAAGGAGGCTGGTGGCGTTGCTCATGCTAGCGATTTTTCTAAAAGTCATACTGAAATTAGAGAAAACCTTTTGGAAATTAAAATGAGGCTAATTTAACTTTCCAACTGTTTTTCAGAACTTCTAGATCATATTCCAGGACAGGGAAAAGAGTCATAAATCCTAGAGGGTTGAGGGGGAAGCCATATTACAAAAAGTTGATAAAACCTGATAGCAAGGGCTGGATTTGTTTTCTGATTACCCAGCCCCCATACCCTAGTTAGGATTTAAGATTCCAGGAGAAAACCCCTGCCATGTGATTTTCAGATCTGCTGTTGACTAATTAGGAAACCCTGGGCAGGTCACTTATTAGTTTAATTTTTAATTTTTAATTTCGTAAAAGTTATATTCAAGGTAAATTTTTCCAGCTCCCTTTTTCACCATTGGCAAAATAGTTTTTATGGTAGTTAACCATTCTTTAAGACTGAGAGAGAAATGCTTAACAAGCATAAAGTATTTAGGAATCATTGTATTTCTGCTCTGAACTGTTACTTATTGACGCAGATTAAAGCTTTGTGGATTAGTGAAAACAAAAGAGGATACTGGAAGATTTAGTCCAGGTTTAGCTGTGCAATAATTAGGATCTTCTCAGAGTCACCTAAGTCCTAATTTTCTAAGGAATTACTTTTTCTATGGGTAGTTAAGTATTTGCATATATCTACACATCACGAATTAACTTTTCTTTTTTAACATTCAGTGGCCCTCTATCTCACTTTTTTAATAAAGAAAAAATGTTATCACTTTGCAGTAGTTCCCAGTATACTCTAGGGGAATAGAAAAACCCCAAAACCACTGAGCTAGGGATGAGCTAGGGAACTGGGCTCAGCCGGCCTCCTGCACTAATTTGAAGTGATTCTGCTCCTCCATGCTCACCTCACAGTGGTTTCAAGTTATGTTTATGCTCCAGAAAAATGAGGAGTGACTCCATATTCTAGATATTGAGGTTTACTCCCAAGCAGCAGAAATTTTGAGTTAAGTTTGCAAGTGACAAGGGGCTACCAGGAAATGCCAGCATATCCCTTCTCCTTCCTAAAGGATCAGGATAGCTCACGAAAGACACAGGTCATACTGTATGACCCAGCAATTGCATTCCCAAGTATATATACCCAAAAGAATGGAAAATAGGTGTTTAAATGTGTACATGAATGTTCATAGCGGCACTATTTACAATAGCCAAATGAGAAACAACCCATATATCATCAACTGAGGAATGGATAAACAAAATGTGGTATATCCATACAATAGAATATTATTCAGCCTTAAAAGGGGATGAAGTATTAATACATGCTGCAGTATGGAAGAACCCCGAAAACATTAAGAGAGAGAAGTCAGGGAGAGAAGAAGGCCACATATTGGATGATTCCATATATGTGAAATACCCAGAATAGGCAAATCTACAGAGACAAAAAGCAGATTGAGGGTTGCTAGGGGCTGCAGGAAGGAAAGAATGGGGAGTGACTGCTTAATGGGCACAGGGCTTCCTTTTGCAGTGATGAAATATTCTGGAACTAGATGGGGTGATGGTTGCACCATATTGCAGATGTACTAAATGCCACTGAATTGTACACCTGTGATAGTTAAAATGGTGCATCTTATATTTTGTGTATTTTATCACCAAAAAAACAAAAAAAAAAGGCATGGGGCATATCATAGAAGACATTTCTGAATGAAGCTGAGTTCCAAACACAAGTGCCTTTGAGGCAAGGCAGGTGCTAAAAGGAAAGGCTGCCCATTAGATGAAAAAGAGAGGTGGGGTCTGTGGTTCTCCGTAAAGATACTAAAATTAGACATTTAAAAAGACAGTGTGCTAGCTGGGCATGATGGCTCACGCCTGTAATCCCAACACTTTGGGAGGCCAAAGCAGGAGGATCCCTTGAACCCAGGAGTTCAAGACCAACCTGGGCAACGTAGTGAGACTCATCCTACAAAATATTAAAAAATTAGCTGGGCATGGTGGCTCATGCCTGTAGTCTCAGCTACTTGGGACTAAAATGTGAGAGGATGGGTTGAGCCAGGGAAGTTGAGGCTATAGCAAACTGTGATCACACCACTGCACTCCAACCTGGACAACAGAGGGAGACTTTGTCCCAAAGAAAAAAAAAAGAAAAGAAAGAAAAAAAAAGAAAAGACAACATTCTAACCACACAACAAAAATCACAGTTGTTAGATAAGCCCTTTGCCAACAAGATATTCAATCCCTGGCCTAAAAGAAACTGCAGCAGTCTTTGGTACAGTTTTCAGTTAGCTCACTGGGGCTTCCCAGTGCAGTCAAGAGTCTTGAAATGTTGGGGTGACACAGAAGCTTTAGATACAATACGCCTTCAGTGACCTTTAGAACACAGGGCACTAAGGATAAACTTCAGGGGTAGGGTTTGCTGTTGGTTAAAGCAAAACAAATAAGAATCTGTGGATGCAATGGAGATTATCCTAGAATGAAACATACCACTTGCTCTGTAATCATCCCTTGACTTATGGGAATAAACACAGCTGTCCCATCTACCTCACAAAGAGATATGTGACCTGGGGCAAGTAACTTAGGCTCTCAAAGTCCCATTTTCTTCATGTGGAAAATGGAATTACAGTAATTGTTAACTCTCGCTACCTAACTGTCTTCTTTGTTGTCTGCCTTTGCTACTAACATATAAGCTCCTCTTTGAAAACAGGGAATGTGCCATTTGTGTGCACTCTTGTTCACCCAGGAGCTGTCACAGGGCCTGACACCTAGTAGGAACTTAGTGAATATTTGCAGAATGATGTGGGATGAGAGCAGTTCCTCTGAAGAAGAAAAGGCACCTGGGGCCACAGGAAAGCCCTCTTCAAATAGCTGGAGGAGATTACTTGTGAGAGCTGAAACTTTCCATTATGCTTCCCTGGAATAGAAAACCAGGACAAGGGCCTGGAACATACAAAGAGATTTGTTTGATTCCATGTTATGAAATGAGACGGCTACCTGGGCAGGAACTGATGTCCCTGACCCTGGAGGTATTTAGACACCAGTTTGGTAAACATTTGGCCATAAGTGTTAAAGCAAGTCACTTGTGAGTAGGGGTTCCAGGTAAATAGGATTTAAGGTCCTTTCTAAACTGAGATTGACTCAATTATACTTTCGTTCCTTCCTTTAGACAGCCCGGTGGTGAATGCCAGGAACAGAGTTGTTAGGTAACTGGAGTAAAATGAAGAGTTCTCGGCCAGGCGCGGTGGCTCACGCTTGTAATCCCAGCACTTTGGGAGGCCGAGGCAGGCAGATCATGAGGTCAGGAGATTGAGACCATCCTGGCTAACACGGTGAAACCCCGTCTCTACTAAAAATACAAAAAAATTAGCCTGGCATGGTGGTGGGCACCTGTAGTCCCAGCTACTTGGGAGGATGAGGCAAGAGAATGGCGTAAACCCGGGAGGCAGAGCTTGCAGTGAGCCGAGATCGCGACACTGCACTCCAGCCTGGGTGACAGAGCGAGACTTCATCTCAAAAAAACAAAAAAAGAGGAGTTCTCTGCCCTCAGGGCTCTTATGATCTTAAAGGCTATATAGACAGGTAAACACATAATTACAGTCATAGGATATAAAGAACTATGGTTTATTCTTCCCTTTTGTTTGTCTTTAACAGTGCACCAAAACCTGCGGCAAAGGCTCCAGGTACCGCAAGGTGGTGTGTGTGGATGACAGCAAAAATGAGGTGCATGGTGCACGCTGTGACGTGAGCAAGCGGCCGGCGGACCACGAAAGCTGTAGTTTGCAACCCTGCGAGTATGTCTGGATCACAGGAGAATGGTCAGAGGTACCGTCCTGGGGACTGTAACTGTGGTCGGCTCAGCCATGGCCTAAGAGCAGCAGAGGGATGAGTGCAGGAATGTGGGAGACTTGAGGCTACCTGCCCGATCTGCCACTGTGAACTGTGTGTTTCTGAAAAGTCCTCAGCCTTCCCAAACTGGAATTCCTTGTATGCAAAGTGGGAGAGATGTATGAGATGGTCTCTGAGTCCCTTCAGGTCACATTCTGTGATTTACCTTGATGTCCTATTGGCATAAAGAAGAAATTATTGCAGGGGCTGCAAACTCATAGGATGCTTTGAGGTGCCTGAAGACAGTTAAGTATAAGAAAATATTGTAGTGCCAGGGATACAAAAGGGAGAGGTGGTGACTGTGACAAACTAGCATATGCTGTGTGAAGGAAGCAGAATCTCTTTCACTCCAGCTGTGGCCATGCAGAAATGTGGTCTAGCGTTACCAGACCTGATTTCTCAAAAGAGGCTAAAAATCTGGACTAGTATGTGAGATTTCCTAACTTGAAAATGGGGGCTCAAATTTTTGGTTTTAAAATGTTGTAAGGGGCAGACAAACCCTTTCATGAACCAGATGTGTTTTGCCTGTTTAACAAACAGCTTCAGAGGAACAAAATAATTTTCTATAATATCTAAAGTATCTCAAGTACCATTTTTTTCATCTATCCTCCTGCACACAATGCTTATCTAGATCCTTTTTATTGGTAACAAACCAATAGTAATTATAGCATGATTATATTATTTTCAAACATCATAATATGTTCATGTCTATATGAGAGATCTATAGCGTTCAAACCAGTTGTCATTTGCACAAAAGTATTTAGAGCTTTGAAAGGGAGGCATCTGGACTCACAGTAAAGGTACTGAAAATTGTTAGGTAATATGATTGCTGCCACTGGGTCTCTTCAAAGTTTGACAGGGCAGCAATTTCACATGTTAATGAGATGAATATTTGCATTTAGATGATGTGTGTGTTGGGTGTTGAATTGCTTCCTGCACTAAAGCTGATCCCAAAGTCTTTTCTAATTATCTCTTCCTATCCTTTATTCCTGTGAATTTTGTCCTTCGAGGGGGCATTTGGCAGTGTCTGGAGACAGTTTGGTTGTGTCAACTGGGGAAAGGGGACCCTACTGGCCAGGGTTGGAAAGTGAAGGCCAGGGATAGGGCTAAACATCCGATAGTGCACAGCGCAGCCCTCACAATACAGAATTATCTGGCCCAAATGTCAGTGGTGCTGAGGCTGGGAAACCTTGCTTGACCCCAACCTTGCATCTTCTTGGTATGCCCTGAAGAGTACCGTATGCCCTTAGAGAGTGAAGAGGAGACATGGTTCTGATCTTTAGGAAATTGATTTGCTCTTGGCCAGCCAGGAACATGTGGAATCCAAATGAGTGTTCAGAATAGTTCTTGACATTGGGTTTGAGGCATAGGTTCCAACCCATCCAGATCCCAATGCAGGGGGATCTCACCTTTCACCTGGCCAAGACTGACCTCTTAATCTTATCTCCTGTGTAGTACTTTTGTTATGCCGAAAGAGTTTTGATCTCTTTCTAAGACTTGAGTCAAATTACTCCTATAGCTTTAATATAACCGTAACCCCCAAAAGATGAGACAGGGAGAAGATTGAAAAGAAAAAAGGAAGCCTTCCACATTTCTGTAAATTCGCAGGTGTATCATGAATTGAAAAGTCTGAAAATTTATGGGCAACAACTAGAGGGCTGGAAACAGTATTTAGTACAGATACAAGGACCATAGGGAAAGAAGCCTGCAACGAGGGGAGAGGGGCCGAAAGGGACTGGCACCAGCTTTCCCTCTAGAAAAGAAGACATACCTTCTGTCTGGGATCTCTATTACCTGGAGGCCTCTTTGTATGTTTTTCTCTGAGCTCTGCTCCACCTGAATTGGAGGAGGCCCGAGCTAGACTCGCAAAGAAGAGCTCTATCAGTCCTGATTGATACATGCATTTTCTAGTGGGGACTGAAGTGTACAGCTCATGCAGGGAGCTCACACTCTTACTGTTTTGCTTTGCTGTTATTTTCAATTTAGAAAAGTAATACATGCTCATTTGGAACCAAGCACATACATCAAGGCATGCAGAGTCTACAGTATGAGCTTCTCTCTGAAATGGTTTGAGGAAACCAGCAGCAGTCAACATTTTCACAATGCTGATATCAGCTGGCTGAGAGCATCTCTTCTTGCCAGCTTCTTTACAGAGATGTGGAGGCCTCTACATTTAGCCTGACCATATTTGGGGCTCAGTTTCATCAGCAAATGCCTGTCACCCACTGGGCTCCCCCTCCACGTAAATAGCCAGGGGACTGCTTTTGCACCTGGTTTGTAGGGGTCAAGAGTCTCATTCCTTGCCTCTCTCAAACACACAACTTTGTTTAAGTTAGTATGGACTGATGTCAATGCATGCAAGCACTGGGTTAGACACTAAGATTACCCACAGCTTGGACAGAGTTTGTTAGCCATCTGCATGAAACACCCCGGGCTGGCCTTACACTTTCCTGGCCTGGTGTCAACTTGGCCTTCAAACATTTGAACAGCAGCAGCCAAAGAAGGAAGAAATGTACACAGAGCATTTCTATGTCTCGAGCCAACTGGAAGGGAAGGCCCAGGGATGCTCTGCATGCCTCTAGCCGGACTTGTTCTCTCCTGCCTCTGGGATTTCTTCAAGGAGAAGCTTTTCCCTGGAAAAGTTGCAGGAGAAGAAAGTCATGTGACTAAAAGCAGGAGGAGACATTAGGGCAGAGCAGACACTGTGGCTTCTAACTGCCCTTGAGAATTGATGAAAGCTGTGGTCCCTTACCCCAGAAAAAGCATAACACACCACATGTAGTATACTGTTTTGGGGTGTTTATCCCACCCTCAGCCAAGAACCTTAAGTCTAGAGAATACTGGCGTTCTACCCCAAGTTTATGTAGCACGTTTACAAAAGATGACCAGTTATTTGATGCCGTTGTCTAAAAATATCATCAAATATCATCAAAACTAAATTAATTGTAACTTAGTTTTATTTTTTAAATACAAAACAATAAAAAAAAATTTAACTAAGGAGGTTGAATGTTGGGACACTATAACAACGTGTATTTCTTCTCCATTTCTGTATTGATTGAGTATGTTTAAATGCCATCGAGTTAGGATAGAAGAGTACAGATGAGGGCATGATATAGAGCAAGAGGTAGAAAAGCAGAAAGGTAACATGCCAGTCAACATCTATAGCCTAGCCGGGTGTGGTGGCGCGCACCTGTAATCCCAACTACTTGGGAGGCTGAGGCATGAGAATCACTTGAACCTGGGAGGCAGAGGTTGCAGTGAGCAGAGATCATGTCACTGCACTCCAGCCTGGACAACAGAGTGAGATGCAATCTCAAAAAAAAAAAAAAATCTATAGCCAAGGAGAGAGAGGGGAGAAGGAAATTAAATGGAGAGCAGGTAGGAAAGCAAACAGCACCAAGGAGGGAAGGAAAACAGTCCCAGAGTCCCCTTTGGCTCAGTGCTTGGATTTCACACTCAAAATGCCAACTCACAGGTCAGCTGCTGTCTCCTCTTCCCTCCCAATTTGGTGGTCATCATAGATTTAGAAAAGAGCAGTTTGCCAACCTGTGCAGTTGGGCTGAAGATGCAAACCAAATGAATGACAGCTGGAGCACCTCCCCCTCCTCCTCCCCTCAAAACCTCCAAAAGGGGCTTGAGGGATCTTCACCTGCAGTGGAGGCTGAGAAGATGCCAGTGGAAGCACCAGATCCCCGAGGCACCCTGTAGGGTTGCCTGTCTCCTGTGTGCTCAGGGCCTGCCGCTTGAAATGAATAAATAAGCTAATGAAGTGGGAGCTTTCTGCAGCATAGTCACACGGTCACCGCTCGGTGTGGAGGTCAGGGGCCTATTGTGGGCTGCCCCAGGAACTGCTCGAACCTCTCCTCTCAACCCCTGTCTTTGCAGTGCTCAGTGACCTGTGGAAAAGGCTACAAACAAAGGCTTGTCTCATGCAGCGAGATTTACACCGGAAAGGAGAATTATGAATACAGCTACCAAACCACTGTCAACTGCCCGGGCACGCAGCCCCCCAGTGTTCACCCCTGTTACCTGAGGGAGTGCCCTGTCTCGGCCACCTGGAGAGTTGGCAACTGGGGAAGTGTAAGTAGAAGACTGAGCGCTCAAATCTGAAAACCCTTGGATCTCAACCCCGTATTAAACATGTCCTGCCTAACCCACTCTCCTTAGTAACTCTACTTCCGGGAGAGACTCTGGAGTTAGCAACTTGAAATGGGCTGACAGGGATCAAAGGGACTTCTTTCTGTTTACCAAGGTGGCTTGGTGCTTAGGACATGGGCTCTGAAGCCAGACAGTCTGGATCTGAACCCTGGTTCTGCCACTTCCCAGGTGAACAACCTTGGGCAAGTTGCAAAACTTTTGTGTCTCAGTTTTCTCATCTGCAAAACTGGTAGTTGTGAAGATGAAATGAGTTTACACAGGTTGAGCATCCCTAGTCCAGAAATCCAAAATGCTAGAAAATCCAAACGTGTTTTAGTGCCAATATGACACTGTAATGAAATGCTCCTTGGAGCATCTTGAGTTTCAGATGTTCAGATTAGGGATATCCAACTAGTAATACTGCAAATATTCCAAAATCTGAAAAAAAAAAAATCTGAAATGCAAAATACTTCTGGTCCCCAGCACTTCCAATAGACCTGTATATATAAAGCACTTAGGTTATAATGGCAAATATTTTGTGTATATTTTACTGCAAATTTTTTTTTTAAAAAAGCACTTAAAATCTGATACTCATAAGAGTTACGGAAGGAGTAGTTATTGTTGCTTATGTTGTTCAGAAGTCTGTATGTTCTAGTGCTTCTGTGTAAGAAATACTTCATTGCATTGGGGTACAACAAGGCAGAATATTTTAAATTGGGACTGCCCTGGAAGACTGTCACAGCCCCCCTGGCTCTGCACCAGGCAGCTCTTAGTCTGGAAAACTGGTCAGGCAGCCAGGCACGATAGCTCACACCTGTAATCCCAGCACTTCGAGAGGCCGAGGTGGGCGGACCATGAGATCAGCAGATCGAGACCAGCCTGGCCATCATGGTGAAATCCTGTCTCTACTTAAAATACAAAATTTTTAAAATTATTATTATACTTTAAGTTCTAGGGTACATGTGTACAGCGTGTAGGTTTGTTACATATGTATACATGTGCCATGTTGATGTGCTGCACCCATTAACTCATCATTTACATTAGGTATATCTCCTAATGCTATCCCTCCCACCTCCCCCCAGCCCACGATAGGCCCCAGTGTGTGATGTTCCCTACCCTGTATCCAAGTGTTCTCATTGTTCAGTTCCCACCTATGAGTGAGAACATTTGATGTTTGGTTTTCTGTCCTTGCAATAGTTTGCTCAGAATGATGGTTTCTAGCTTCATCCATGTCCCTACAAAGGACATGAACTCATCCTTTTTCATGGCTACATAGTATTCCATGGTGTAAATGTGCCACATTTTCTTAATCTGGTCTATCATTGATGGACATTTGAGTTGGTTCCAAGTCTTTGCTATTGTGAATGGTGCCGCAATAAACATACGTGTGCATGTGTCTTTATAGCAGCGTGATTTATAATCCTTTGAGTATATACCCAGTAATGGAATGGCTGGGTCAAATGGTATTTCTAGTTCTAGATCCTTGAGGAATCACTACACAATCTTCCACAATGGTTGAACTAGTTTTTAGTCCCACCAACAGTGTAAAACTGTTCCTATTTCTCCACATTCTCTCCAGCACCTGTTGTTTCCTGACTTCTTAGTGATCGCCATTCTAGCTGGTGTGAGATGGTATCTCATTGTGGTTTTGATTTTGCATTTCTCTGATGGCTCATGATGATGAGCATTTTTTCATGTGTCTGTTGGCTGCATAAATGTCTTCTTTTGAGAAGTGTCTGTTCCTATTCTGCACCAACTTTTGGGGTTGTTTATTTCTTGTGAATTTGTTTGAGTTCTTTGTAGATTCTGGATATTAGCCCTTTGTCAGATGGGTAGATTGAAAAAATTTTCTCCCATTCTGTAGGTTGCCTGTTCACTCTGATGGTAGTTTCTTTTGCTGTGCAAAAGTTCTTTAGTTTAATTAGATCCCATTTGTCAATTTTGACTTTTGTTGCCATTGCTTTTGGTGTTTTAGTCATGGAATGGTATTGCCTAGGTTTTCTTCTAGGGTTTTTATGGTTTTAGGTTTGACATTTAAGTCTTTAATCCATCTTGAATTAATTTTTGTATAAGGTGTAAGGAAGGCATCCAGTTTCAGCTTTGTACATATGGCTAGCCAGTTTTCCCAGCACCATTTATTAAATAGGGACTCCTTCCCCATTGCTTGTTTTTGTCAGGTTTGTCAAAGATCAGATGGGTGTAGATGTGTAGTATTATTTCTGAGGGCTCTGTTCTGTTCCATTGCTCTATATCTCTGTTTTGGTACCAGTACATGCTGTTTTGGTTACTGTAGGCTTGTAGTATAGTTTGAAGTCAGGTAGCGTGATGCCTCCAGCTTTGTTCTTTTGCTTAGGATTGTCTTGGCAATGCGGGCTCTTTTTTGGTTCCATGTGAACTTTAAAGTAGTTTTTTCCAATTCTGTGAAGAAAGTCATTGGTAGCTTGATGGGGATGGCATTGAATCTAAAAATTGCCTTGAGCAGTATGGCCATTTTCACGATATTGATTCTTCCTATTCATGAGCATGGAATGTTCTTCCGTTTGTTTGTGTCCTCTTTTATTTCGTTGAGCAGTGGTTTGTAGTTATCCTTGAAGAGGTCCTTTACATCCCTTGTAAGTTGGATTCCTAGGTATTTTATTCTCTTTGAAGCAATTGTGAATGGGAGTTCACTCATGATTTCGGGCTCTCTGTTTGTCTATTATTGGTATATAGGAATGCTTGTGATTTTTGCACATTGATTTTGTATCCTGAGACTTCACTGAAGTTGCTTATCAGCTTAAGGAGATTTTGGGCTGAGATAATGTAGTTTTCTAAATATACAATCTTGTCTTCTGCAGTCAGGGACAATTTGTCTTCCTCTTTTCCTAATTGAATACCCTTTATTTCTTTCTCCTGCCTGATTGTCCTGGCCAGAACTTCCAACACTATGTTGAATAGGAGTGGTGAGAGAGGGCATCCCAGTCTTATGCCAGTTTTCAAAGGGAATGCCTCCAGTTTTTGCTCATTCAGTATGATATTGGCTGTGGGTTTGTCATAAATAGCTCTTACTGAGATATGTCCCATCAATACCTAGTTTATTGAGAGTTTTTAGCATGAAGGACTGTTGAATTTTGTTGAAGGCCTTTTCTGCATGTATTGAGATAATCATGTGGTCTTTGTCTTTGGCTGTGTTTATCTGATGGATTATGTTTATTGATTTGTGTATGTTGAACCAGCCTTGCATCCCAGGGATGAAGCCAACTTGATCGTGGTGGATAAGCTTTTTGATGTGCTGCTGGATTCGGTTTGCCAGTATTTTATTGAGGATTTTCCCATCGAGGTTCATCAGGGATATTGGTCTAAAATTATCTTTTTTTGTTGTGTCTCTGCCAGGCTTTGATATCAGGATGATGCTGGCCTCATAAAATGAGTTAGGGTGGATTCCCTCTTTCTCCATTGATTGGAATAGTTTCAGAAGGAATGGTCCCAGCTCCTCTTTGTACCTATGGTACAATTCAGCCATGAATCCATCTGGTCCTGGACTTTTTTTGTTTGGTAGGCTATTAATTGTCTCAATTTCAGAGCCTGTTATTGGTATATTAAGTGATTTAGCTTCTTCCTGGTTCTTGGGAGGGTGTATGTGTCCAGGAATTTATCCATTTCTTCTAGATTTTCTAGTTTATTTGCATAGAGGTGTTTACAGTATTCTCTGATGGTAGTTTGTATTTCTTTGGGATCGGTGGTGATATCCCCTATATCATTTTTTTATTGCGTCTATTTGATTCTTCTCTCTTTTTTTATTAGTCTTGCTAGCAGTCTATCAATTTTGTTGATCTTTTCAAAATATCACCTCCTGGATTCATTGATTTTTTAAAAGGTTTTTTTGTGTCTCTATCTCCTTCAGTTCTGCTCTGATCTTAGTTATTTCTTGCCTTCTGCTAGCTTTTGAATGTGTTTGCTATTGCTTCTCTAGTTCTTTTAATTGTGATGTTAGGGTGTCAATTTTAGATCTTTCCTGCTTTCTCTCCTGGGCATTTAGTGCTATAAATTTCCCTCTACACACTGCTTTAATAAAATACAAAAAGTAGCCGGGCGAGATGGTGCACACCTGTAGTCCCAGCTACTAGGGAGGCTGAGACAGGAGAATCGCTTGAACCTGGGAGGTGGAGGTTGCAGTGAGCTGAGATCATGCCATTGCACTCTGACCTGGACAAGAAGAACAAAACTCCATATCAAAAAACAAAAAAAGAAAAAGAAAACGAAAGAATTGAAAAGTGATCAGGCAAAAGTGTATGATGAGTTGGAAGCAGTTAGGGTATGACCTTGAACAAATTCCTTAATATTTGAGCCCCAATCTCACCTGTAAAAATAAGATAATGGTAATACTATCTCATAGGGGTACAGTGAAGCTTAAATGAAAAAATTATGTGTGTGTGTGTGTGTGTGTGTGTAAAATTACACAAATTTTATACATACGTATAAGTGTTTTATACATATATATGTTTTTATAAATGCATGAATATGAATCTGTAACGCTTAGCACAGAGACTGGCCCATAGTGCTCAATAAATGTCAGCTTTTTGTATTCAGTGGCACAGAGTCTGAAGTGACATCCTGTACAGGATGACATCAGGGCTCTGAGCTCCACACCACCGGAAGCCTATGCCTCCCACATTCCATAGCCACACCGCTGACTCCCGTTTGTCTTACAGTGCTCAGTGTCTTGTGGTGTTGGAGTGATGCAGAGATCTGTGCAATGTTTAACCAATGAGGACCAACCCAGCCACTTATGCCACACTGATTTGAAGCCAGAAGAACGAAAAACCTGCCGCAATATCTATAACTGTAAGTTGGCCAACTGAAATTATCTTTCTTTAGCATGAAGAACAGGATTATCATTTTTCATTTGATTGCCTGCCCTTTTTAGAAATATGATTTTTTTCTTAAGGAAATCATTCCCTTTGCTAAAAAGTTTTAGTGTGAACAATGTCATTCATTCTATAGGCAGATAATTCACATCTCGGAGCATCACACCCTATTTTTTGTGATTTGTGTTTTCTAGGTGAGTTACCCCAGAATTGCAAGGAAGTAAAAAGACTCAAAGGTGCCAGTGAAGATGGTGAATATTTCCTGATGATTAGAGGAAAGCTTCTGAAGGTGAATGTCAGATACCAGTCATTATTTCAAGAATATTTTTAGAGTAAGTGAACACTGCTCTCATTACCTCATTTCTGAGCCTCTCTTCCTGGGTTATTTATGGTCTTTCAGATATTCTGTGCGGGGATGCACTCTGACCACCCCAAAGAGTACGTGACACTGGTGCATGGAGACTCAGAGAATTTCTCCGAGGTTTATGGACACAGGTAGGAGAGCCAGGCTCAGAAGATCCCAGAGGCCTGGAGATCCCTAGAAATGCTTTCCCATCCTTACCAGAACATTCTCTGTATAATTTAGGTTACACAACCCAACGGAATGTCCCTATAACGGGAGCCGGCGTGATGATTGCCAATGTCGGAAGGATTACACGGCGGCTGGGTTTTCCAGTTTTCAGAAAATCAGAATAGACCTGACCAGCATGCAGATAATAAGTAAGTTAGTGAGGTGTCCTGTGGGAATGTGTGCATTCTTCTTTCCATTCAGACAGCAAGCATTTCTTGCATATTGGCTAGCAGGGAGGTGCTGAGGGTATGGAGAGGAAGAACACTGGAGGCTTACAGTGCAGCGAGGACAGTCCTGCAGGCAGAGTTTTGTCTTTTTTGTTCACTGCTGTATCCCCAGTGCCTGGAAAGTGGTTCGCACAAGGCAGGTGCTCTCTCCAATTCGTGATGAATGAATTGAATGAATGAAGTAGATGAAAGCACATGAAAGAAGCACCATTGAAATGTGGGAGGTCAGGGCAGCATTCCAGAAAATATGATATTGAAATGGAGACCCTAAGGTCAAGTTAAGGTTAGCCAGGCACAGAGGTCAGTGTGGGGGAGGCAGAGGTGGTAGCAGAAGTATTCAAGGTAGAATAAACAGCAGATACAAAACCCCAAAGCTAAGAAATTCATGGGCAACATTCACCCCCCACCCCAGCTTTCACCAGCACAGGGTACATGCTTACACGGACATAAAACTAATTTTATTCAGTTGTCAATTTGCAGAAGAAAAGTGGAACACAGAATTACCTTTTCTAAACTAGCCTGTGTGGGGGCTGATTTCATACTCTCGCCAACACTGCATCTCTGTTGGGGACATTAATCATAGAAGTGGTTAAGGACAGCTAAAATACCTCAACATGTTCCTTTGCATAAAGGAAAAACAGAAATAATGAATAATTAATTTTTCCTCATTAACATTATACCCATAATATTGCATTGCTTTTCTCTTGAGATAGATTAAACGTGATTTGGACCAAGATACTTTAAATTTCCTTCAGCTAGACTAATGAGGGCTAAAGGCAGAGGGTCTGCAGTTTCTCCACTTAGGAAGAGACCCCAGCTAAGACCCAAGGGTTCTACATGCTGAAGCAGGCAAGGGCCGCTTTCCTTTCACAATGGAGCACTGGGATTGCCCTTTCACCAAAGTGTGGTGAACTGTAGAAAGATTAAGACCATTCCCGAAAGACAAGGCGGAAAGATGGAACCTGCCTCTGGCCTCCAGTCTCTCTGGCAGATAGCTTTTGCAGGATTCTCAGGTTAACTCCTCCCTTTTCATGTGCAGAGCTCGTCTCAGGAGCTATAATAGGGGTTAACAACACGCACTTTGGGTTGGCCTTATATTTATTGACTCTTTAAAAAATAAAAAATTACAAGCTAGCCCCAAACTTGAGAAACTGCCATTAATAATTTCAAGATGGGGGTTCTAATTGCTCCACATTTTGGCAATAATAGTGCCTAGGCCACAGGAGGACAGAGGAAACCTCAGGGAATCACTCCTAAGGAGCTGGAAATGCTTTCTTTCTGGCTTATTTCCCCCTGGCCTGAAGCCCGTGACGCAGGATAACAGGAGGTTCTCAACCAGCCAATTACGCTACATTTAAGTGAGGTGATTCACATATTTATTTATGTAGGAATCAATTCCAAAGTCGTTTGAAACCCCCTTTTTGGCTTCCATACTGTGGGAAGACAGACCTTCGGGGCTGATGAAGCCCGGGGAATGAAGCTCCCAGAACCACAAATATAATGAGGAAAAAGCTAGTGAGCATCTGGATCCATTTGCCCACTAATAGTTCACATTGCTTCTTTCTCTCCCATTCCCTCTTATTCTTCATCTTCCCTTCTGTCTCCTTGTTAATGTCCCATTCCTTTCTTGCCTTTCTCCCACTCTTAACTTCCTCTGCCTTTAACCCCTTCTCCACCCCACAGCCACTGACTTACAATTTGCAAGGACAAGCGAAGGACATCCCGTCCCTTTTGCCACAGCCGGGGATTGCTACAGCGCTGCCAAGTGCCCACAGGTATGTCCTTAGTGCCTTCCCCCTTGCGAGGGATTTACTTCCCATTTTCCCGGGGACACCCTCAGTTGCATCTGTTCCTGGGAATGTGATTAGAACAGTTGCTCTGGAGGGCAGTTTGGCCACATGTATCAAGACCCTCACAAATGCTCTGGAGTCTAATCTCGTAATTCAGCTCCTGAAAGTGGGCCCTAAGGAAATGATTATAGCTCCATGCCTAACTTCTGCATTCAACAAAACATGTCAGCTTAGAAACAAATTAGATGTCGGGTAGCGAGGGCTTGGTTAAACAAATTATTGTGGTTAATAAAATGAATATTGTACAGTCAGCAGAGTGCTAGTAAATATTTAATGACTGACTCTTCCAAAAAAAAAAAAAAAGGTCCTGCTTTGTAACATTTGTCAATTGCCATGGTATAAATATTCTCCCCATAATTGATTTCATCAACATTATGTCATCAACATTATGTCACTAAATGGAGGGCTAGGAAGAAGGCAGACAGTTGACTCTCGAAAGTCAGTTCAAGCGAGTGCCAACACACCACTGTCAGCCTTCATGAATCTGAATATTGCATGATATAGAAAAACACTTTACACGGATTAGACAGAAAACACAAGATGCAAAACAGTACATGCAGTATGATCCCATCTGTATTTTCTTTTAATGTATAAACAGAGAATAAGTTTGGAAGAACTTTTTCAAAATATTAGTTGGGTATATTGGTAAGTTTTTGGTTTTTTTTATGTTTAACTTTGCTGGATTTCCTAAATTTTTCAAAATAAGCATGAAACCAATTTTTTTTTTAAAATAAATAAAGGTTGGACCTGGAGATCTCAGAATTTTCAAGACTTATCTGGGTTTCCTTTGGTTCCTGAAGAGTACTCAGAAGTGGCTCTAGAATAGTCTTAGCAACAAATCAGCTGACCTTTCTTGAGTGCTCACTTTGAGCCAGGCACCATCCTTTTTACTGGAGACTCATAAACATTCATCCCTTGAGAAATTTAAAGCCTATTAGAGAGGATGACAGGTTAACGAAGACCCATGAGATAATAATATATTCTAGAAGTCCTCCAGGACCAAGGTTTGGGGCACTGCGGATGTCATTGACTCAACCTGTTACCCCTACTTCAGTTCTACAGAGTTTGCAGTGTTCAGACAAGAAGTACAAATTCATCATCTTCTGCTGGATGACTTTTCAGCAGAGCCACTCAGCAGCAATCTTTCTGCCCATTCTATGGTTCTACACTTTCTTGCCTGAGAAAGGCGTGGCAAGTTTTAGCTTGTCTTTTGAAACATGCTGTCATAATCAGCTCTGGCTTATTTTGCAAAGCAGGCATTGGTCTTTGCAAAGCAGGCATTTGGTCTGCCCTTGGAAGGCGGGACAAACCATGAATTCAGTGATTCTGGACGGGAGAACTTGGCCACAGTTTTCTCTTCGGTTTGAAGGAGGTCTGCACAAATCTGTTGTTAAACTCTGTCAAGAGTTTCTCACTTTGCCTGTGCACCTTCAAAAGTCTGAAGATTGGGACTCCGTGATGCACTCAGAATCCCAAGCCCTGGCTCCATAGGATGGATTTACCCCCAACTACAGAGAACGTCCGAAGACAAACACATCTGAACATTCTTTTAACGAAGTGTTTTTTCAGCCTCATGCTTTAGAAGAATGTTGCTAAACATTTTAGAGAAGGGAGAGGAAGCTCTCAGGGGAGAAAGAAAATAAACAAAGGACATAATGGTGAAAAGACTGTCTTCCATTACCCAGGAATCGAAAACTTTTGAAGTGTGGTGTTTTTTAGGGCAATTGATGGCTTCAAAAACCCCATTGGTATCTGTTGCATTTTAGTGGCTAATATATTGACCCTGTCCTGCTTTCTTCAAATGTCTCAGGATTTTCTCGTTTCTCTATGCACATCCTTTGGGAAGCTTAAGTAAATGAAAAGTAATTTGCATTCATTTATTTTAATAATTCACAGACAAATGAACTGATTGATTTGCTAAATCCTGACAATGAAGCAATTCCTAAATGGGAAAACCCAAAGCTTGTGAGAGGCTAATTTATTTTTTCCCAGCTCATTCTTCAAACCATATTGGGTACTTTAAGAATTCAATTCCTTAGACATGTATATTTAACACCAGCTATACTGATGCAAGATGTGAGTTTTTCCAATCAGTTTTCCAGGAAAAGGTTTGTAGAAAGCGCGATTGTGGAGGCTGCTTCAGAGTGGATGCTTCAGCCTTTGACCTAGTGATTGCCCAGAAATCGAAGCAGAATGATGTTGTGTTTGAGAACTTGTTTCTTCTACCTCATTGACCACTATTGCTTTGTGGATGTATTTATTAATAAGAGTGGGTTCCCCGATAGCCCTCATCTTGAAACATAACCAGAATTTTTTTATCCTGACAGTAGATGTGACACTGTTATTATTGATGATATTAATAGCTAGCATTTATTATGCATCTATGCTTTAGTCACTGTACTCAGTATTGTCTACTCCATGTAGCATTTAAATCACCAGAGTATTCTATGAAAATGCCTCCTTTCTGAAGAGAAAGAGGGTAAGAAGTAGAAATTGGGAGGATTTGCCCAAACCTACACAGCTGCTGCTCTACTGTAGAGTCTGGATTTGATCCTAAGTGTGTCTGAATTCGTATCCATGATAGTAGATGTGTCTTTTGATTCTGTTTTCAGGCAACATTTCTGCAACATTTGCTCTTGTACAACAGAAAACAGGATTATCCTTTGGTCTAAGCACATCTTTTGCAAACCTTTAGGGACCATCTAGTAAACGTACAACTCTTAATCACTCTTCTTTAGAATAGGCAACAGAAGGTAGTGTTTACAACTCATGTGCCCTTTAGACCTTGAAGATAAGGCTCTTAAGAGCAAAGATGTCCCAGAGCAGAGGCAGAAAGAACATTAGGTCTTCCCTGGTGGAACTCAACTTTCAGAGTGCTAACAATCAGCTAGGACATCTGCTGAAATGCAGATCCCTAAACTGGAAAGGGCAGAAAGAAAATGAGGACGATGATCTCCTGTTGCATCTGGGTTCCTCAACCCCTCTGGGAAGACAGACCTAGTAGACGTATATATTGAGCATGTTCAGACACTGGACACCCAGGTCGGCTGGGGGCATTGTCCAGAAAGAAGCTGGATCAGCAACCTGGACCTCCCGAAAACTTCAGTGCCAAAGCAGATCAAGTCCCCTTTCTCTTGCAGTACAGGTGGGACAGGCAGTCTGAGTGGAAAGCAGAATTGAAGGAGAAAAGACGGGCATTCTTGGCACTAGGATGGCCTAGGTACTTTGAATTATGTGGACCCACTCCTGGGGACAGAAATTGTAGTAAGATAAGAAAATTTGGGGGAAGGGGGTGACAGGCCTAGTGGCTCAGGCCTGTAATCCCAGCACGTTGGGAGGCTGAGAGAGGTGGATCACTTGAGGTTAAGACCAGCCTGGCCAACACGGTGAAACTCCATCTTTACCAAAGAAAAACTTAGCTAGGCCTGGTGGTGCACACCTATAGTCCCAGCTACTGGGAAGGCTGAGGTATGAGAATCACTTGAACCCGGGAGGCAGAAGTTGCAGTGAGCCAAAATCACACCACTGCACTCCAGCCTGGGTGACAGTGAGACCCTGTCTCAAATAAACTAAAAGAAAACAAACAAAATGGCCAATTGAATAATGCAACATACAAAACCCAGTGTCTGAGGAGGCTTCAGTGCAGCTACAAGCAGGAACACCTGAGCACGGCCTCCATGCCACCACATAAGAACCACGAACCTCTGTAGCATATTGTCATAAAAATTTTGACACAGAGCCATACTCTGTTGCCCATGCCGGAGTGCATTTGCATACTCTTGGCTCACTGCAACCTCCACCTCTCAGTCTCCTGAGTAGCTAGGATTACAGGCACGCACCACCATGCCCAGCTAATTTTTGTATCCAGAATTGGTGGGTTTTTGGTCTCACTGACTTCAGGAATGAAAGTGTATGAAGGTGTGGACCCTCACGGTGAGTGTTACAGCTCTTAAAGATGGCGTGTCCCGAGTTTATCCCTTCTGATGTTCAGACGTGTCTAGAGTTTCTTCCGTCTGGTGGGTTCATGGTCTCTCTGCCTTCAGGAGTCAAGCTGCAGACCTTCAGTGTTACAGCTCTTAAAAGCAGCACAAACCCAAAGAGTGAGCAGCAAGAAGATTTACCGTGAAGAACAAAGCATCCATAGCATGGAAAGAGCAGTTTCCCACTGGCCTCCCGCAGCCTGCTTTTATTCCCTTATCTGACCCCACCCACATCCTGCTGATTGGTCCATTTTACAGAGAGCTGATTGGTCCGTTTTGACAGGGTGCTGATTGGTATGTTTACAAACCTTGAGCTAGACACAGAGCACTGATTAGTGCATTTACAATCCTTTAGCTAGACAGAAAGGTTCTCTAAGTCCCCACCAGATTAGCTAGATATAGAGTGCTGATTGGTGCATCCACAAACCCCGAGCTAGATACAGAGTGCTGATTGGTGCATATATAATTCTCCAGCTAGACATAAAAGTTCTCCAAGTCCCCCTCTGACTCAGGAGTCCAGCTGGCTTCACCTAATGGATCTCCTTGGGGGGCCACAGGCTGAGCTGCCTGCCAGTCCCCACTCCTCAGCCCTTGGACTTTGGATGGATCCGGGTGCCATGGAGCAGGGGGCGGCACCAGTTGGGAAGGCTCAGGCTGCCTGAGAGCCCACTGCCGGGGAGGGTGAGTGGGCGGAGGGGGGGCCGGAGGGTGTGGGGAGGGGGTGTTGGGCATGGCAGGCTGCAGGTCCGGAGACCTGCCCGCCGGGAGGCGGCTGAGGCCCGGCAAGAATTCGAACGCAGCGTGGGCAGAGCTGGCAGTGCTGGGGGACCTGGCGCACCCTTCGCAGCTGCTGGCTGGGGTGCTAAGCACCTCGCTGCCCACGGCCAGCGGTCCCGGCCGGCCGCTCTGAGTGCGGGGCCTGCCTAGCCCATGCCCACCCTGAGCTCGCGCTGGCCGGCGAGCGCAGCGCGCAGCCCTGGTTCCCGCCAGCGCCTCTCCCTTCACACCTCCCCGCAAGCAGAGGGAGCCACCTCCAGCCTTGGCCAGCTCAGAGAGGGGCTCCCATAGTGCAGCAGCAGGCTGAAGGGCTCCTCAAGCACGGCCAGAGTGGACGCTGAGGTCGAGGAGGCACCGAGATCAAGCGAGGGCTGCTAGCACGTTGTCACCTCTCAATTTTAGTAGAGATGGGGTTTCACCACTTTGGGCCAGGCTGGTCTTGAACTCCCAACCTCATATGATCCACACGCCTCAGCCTCCCAAAGTGCTAGGATTACAGGCATGAGCCACCACACTCAGCCCAAAAATATTTTTTAAATATTACCTACTGTCTGCCAGGTAATGAGTGACATGCATTATGCCTTCTAGCTAATCACCTCCTATTCACAGGCTAAGTCTTACTAATCTATTTTACAGATGGGCTCCTTGCCTGAGGTCACATGCAAGTAAAGAAGGGAGCAAGATTCTAGGGTAAATCTACCCTTTGTACCAGGTTTTCAATCAGCCTCAGCACTGTTGACATTTCAGACTGGAGAATTTTCCGTTGTGGGCTGTCCTGTGCATCACAGCAGCATCCTTGGTCTCTACCACCAGATGCCAGTAGCAGCACCACTCCCTGCCCCCCACAGTGTGACAAACAAAAATGTTTTCAGATACTGCCAAATTTCCCCTGGGGTCAAAATCGTCCCCTGTTGAGAACCACTGATTTAGTCCAAACTAAGTTCTCTGGTCACCTCTATCTTGTGGAATCTAGCACTCCAGAAATGTTTATAAACTTTTGTTAGTCAATATTTATGGAACTGGCATTGAGACACCTAGTCCTGGAAATCTTAATTGAGGAGCTAGGATATAATATTTAAGTGGCTAGTCATATGTTACAAACCATAGCTGATTAAATAAACAAAGCAATAGTAAGGCCCTGCTCTCAATAAGCTTCCTGTTCATATTGAAGAGATCAGACGAACACTTACAAAGCAACTAGAAAATGTAAGACAGATGCCATCTTTTTGCATATCTAAGTGCCAGCCTTAGCTGATTTCATTTAGTCCTCTGTACAGTGCTCAGAAGGAAGAGAGTTTTAGTACCTTCCATTTTACAGATGAATAAACTGAGGTTCCAAGAGGTGAGAAAAGATCTGTCCAGGATCTAATCACAGGTGAAAGAACTTTATTTACACGTGGGTCTGATCAGCTGTGAGCTCCTCCTTGCCTCTCTTCTTGTTTATAAGAGATTGTTTTGACAAAGGGCTGGCTTGTCAGGTTTAGAAAGAAAACAATCAGGAGTGTTCTTGTGGAATATTTTTAGCTCTGAAACTGCTCATTGTGGAGTAGGAAGCCTCAAGAAGAAAGTATTTCAGATGCCTTTGCGAGTCGTTTTTGAAAGAGAGAGTTAGACAATTGGAGAAAGCAGTGAGAGGGTCTTTCTGCTGCACCGTCTCTTTAGAAATCAATATAGAGGCACCAGAGGCCATATTCTGAAAGGCACCCTCGGTGGGGTTTGGGAGATGTCCCTTAACAGACGGAGCCTGGAAGCCACATCCTCCAGGCCCAGGTGGTCTTGAGCAGGCCAACCCTGCCCTCTGCTGACCGTCTTGGGGAAAGCGCCTCTTTGAAGTCCCGCCCTGCTGTGCTTGGTACGCGGTGTGCTAATCGCCCCAGGGAGCTGGAAGCCCAGGAAGCTTGGCACCAAGATCTTGTTAGAAAAATTACACTGTGACATTTTGTTCCTGAAGGAATCTGATAATTGTGAGCAACATCAGGACTGCTGTGTTAGGGAGGCCGAATGGAGCAAGGACTTTGAAGTCAGGAGGATGTGAGTTGGACTCTTACTGTATCCTGAAGAAGTTAATCACCTCCGTTACGCCTCAGTTTCCCCATCTGTAAAGAAAACCTCCTTCATAGAGCTCTTTCGAGGATGATTAAGATGATGCATGAAGAATGGCTGGTCCTGGGCAAACAAAACTAAATACCATCAATAATTAGTAGCTATCACAATTAATCAACATCCTTCCCTTTTCCAAAGTACCTTTTATTGTATCACCTTTGCCTTTGCTTTTGTTGGGGACATCACGTGGACTGAAAATCTCTTGTTGGTCGTGTATTCCAGGGTCGTTTTAGCATCAACCTTTATGGAACCGGCCTTTCTTTAACTGAATCTGCCAGATGGATATCACAAGGGAATTACGCTGTCTCTGACATCAAGAAGTCTCCGGTAAGGTTCTACAGATGGGTTGAGAGATGAATTTTGATTTCTTTCTCTCGTTCTTGTCTTCATAACTGGTAGTGGTGCTGAGGGAACAAACGAATGTGCTTTCCCACTTAAGCCATTTTGCAGTGTCAGGAAGACCATTTAGGAAATAAACCTAGGGTGCAGTGTTTACATGTGATTAAAGTCTGAGAGCCCTGTTCACTTCTGGTGAATTCTTCCTCGAGAGGTGAACATAGAACCATCCAAGTAAGTAGAAAAACCACCTAACCAGGAAGGTAAAAGCAGGAAGAAGCCTCTGTCGAGGGTGTGGCTCAGACATCTTTCAGTAGCCAGCTTGCAGTTCATTCTGTGAACCAAGGGGAAATGACCTCTTCTTTTATTTAGAATAATTGAAATACAGATGGAGCTAGAAGACAGATAACTTATTAAGTGATATATCTGGAGAGCTAGCGATACACACACAGGGTCTATAATAATAAGTTTTTCACCCTCTAAAATCTGGCTGGTCAAGGTGTGGTCTACGCAGTGCATCAGTGTCACCTGGGGTGTGTTGGAAATGCAGGTTCTACGGCCCAGACCCTAGTGAGTCAGAGTCTACAGCTGAACAAGGTCTTAGGTGATGATGGGCACATGCAGCTTGAGAAGCACTGTGCTGTGCAGGCGGTTCCCGACTTACGACGGTTCCACCTGATTTTTCAACTTCACCATGGTTCAAAAGCAAATCACACAGTAGAAACCCTACTTCGGGTACCCATACAACCGTTCTGTTTTTCACTCAGTACAGTGTTCAATCAATTACACGAAATATTCAACACTTTGTTATAAAATAGACTTTGTGTTAGATGATTTTGCCCCACTATAAGCTAATGAAAGTGTTTCGAGTACATTTAAGGTAGGCTAGGCTAGGCTGTAATGTTCAGAAGGTTAGAGATATTAAATGCATTTTTGACTTAATGGTATTTTCGACTTGAGATGTGTTTATTGAGACATAACCCCATTGTAAATCGAGGAGCATGTCAACTGTGTACTGTTTCTCACCTTGGGTGTATAGTGGAATCACCTGAGGAATTTTAAAATGCACCTGCCCAGGTCCTTCCCACACAGATGAACTGAATCAGAATCTCTGAGGGTGGGGGAGCCCTGGCAGGAGTAGAATGTAAAGCTGCCCAAATGATTCAGATGTACAGCCAGGTCAGAAACCGCTGCCACTTACAGCCTTCCCTCTGAAGTCCTAAGAGTGTGGGGCAGAAACCCGGCTCATGAAAAAATATGTTTAAGTTTACCCAAGCATGGCCCATTTCTCCAATCCCACCTCAGCCAGGAGCCCTGCCTGGGGTTGCCTCAGAAATGTGGGTAGGGGAAGACAAAGAAGAGAGCTGGGAAAGTAGGGTATTATTACAAGGCAGAACTGCCAGATAAAATACAGGACACTCAGTTAAATTAGAATTCAAACACACATTGAGAATCGCTTGATCCTAAGAGTTCGAGACCAGCCTGGGCAAGGTAGTGAGACCCTGGTTTTGCAAAACCTTTAAAAATCAGCTGGACATGGTGGTGCATGCCTGCAGTCCCAGCTACTTGGAGGTTGAGGTTGGAGGATCCCTTGAGCCCAGGATGTTGAGGGGGCAGTGAGCCATGATTGCGCCACTGCATTCCAGGCTGGCCTGCAAAGTGAGACACCATCTCTCTTTTTTTTTTTCAAGTACACAATGAACATTGTTTACAATAAGCATACTGTTATCATTACATGGGACATAGTTATACTAAACATGTATATGTTGTTTATCTGAAATTCAAATTTAGCCAAGCATCCTGTATTTTTATTTTCTAAATCTGAAAACTCTATTGCAAACACTTTTACCTAATCAAAATAAGAATGTAAAAAAGCAGCTCAACCTGCCTCCCTCACCTAAGAGGAGAAATGTCCAATTGTGACATTCCAGGAAAATCTGTTTCCTGATCTCTTTTTCTAGCTGCCATGATTAAGTTTGTGTCTGTGAAAAAAGCTATCTCACTCTCTCTCTCCTCCATCTAAGCCAATCAGTGACCTCAAATCTGATTAAATAGCCATATTGATTACTTGTAAATTAGTCATTAAATATTTTTCCTTGCACTGAAAGGAGTAAAGATAGAGAGAGAGAGCATGAGCTTTAGAATGTGCCCTGAAATTATGTTCTTCCCCCATTTCTTCCCTCCGAAATCTATATATTACGTTTCTTATCTATTGACAAATAAAAATTGTGTATTTTTATTGTGTACAACATGATGTTTTGAAATACACTGTATGTTTCAGTGACCCAGAACCAAAAAATTTGCCTGTCTAGTGCCGCTGCACTGCAGCCTGAGTGATAGAGTGAGACTCTGTTAAAAAAAATAAGTAAACAAATAAATAAAAATGTGATTGTAGGAAACCCATGTAGATAAACTGTAACATAAATTATATTTGTTAGCTGGTTACTACTGTTTCAGCCAGAAACTAAAAATAATTAAAGCCAGGAGCACCACCTTATGGAAAGAATGATCACTACATGGGCTGTTCCCCAAGGCTTTTGGGAGATGCCCGGGCTGGAGGGAGCTGGGTATAACAATTGCCTGTCGGCATTTTTTTTTTTTTTTTCTTATTCTTGGTGTTCTTTGGCAGCTCAGAGAGTCTGAACTCAAAATTAATCTCCAGGGCCTGTCGAGTACTCCTTATGAGTATCTGGCAGCTGGGACTGAGCCCTCTCTAGCCGCCGGCTATCAGGAGAAATGCTGCCTGACTTCCCCTGTGTGGTCCAGAGAAACATCTCCTAGCGATGCTTCCTGAAAATACGCTTCCACCGCCCAACACATTTGGGAGAAAATGCTAGTATATTGTATTTCATTCCTGAAGAGTCACAGTAAGCATTAGCATGTGAGATGGGACCAAATTATACAGGAAATAAACCTGTGTAACTTTAGCCAGCATTCCACTAAAGCAGTGGTTCTCAAACTCACGAGTGCATCACCATCACCTGCAGGGCTTGTTAAAACACAAGCAGGTGGCCAGACGTGGTGGCTTGTGCCCATAATCCCAGCACTTCGGAAGGCTGAGGCAGGAGGATTGCTTGATCTCAGGAATTCAAGACCAGCTTGGGCAACACAGGGAGACCCAATCTCTACAAAAAAAAAAAAAATAGCTGGGTGTGGTGGTGTGCACCTGTAGTCTTAGCTACTCAGGAGGCAGAGGTGAGGAGGAGCCTGGGTGGTCAAGGCTGAAATGAGCCATGATTGCACCACTGCACTCTAGCCTGGGCAACAGAGTAAGACCCCATCTCAAAACAAAACAAAACAAAACCCACCACATGATCAGTCTGAGGAGAGGCCAGAAATTGACATCTGTAACCATTTCCCAGATGATGCTGATGCCCCTGATCTGGAGTCACATTTTGAGAACCACTAACCTAAATGAAGCCAACCACAAAACCTTCTTTTCAAAGTTACAGCTTTTAATTTCCCCCAAATAACCAGGGTCCCATGAAACACACTTCAGGAATTGTGCCATATCCTGTTCCCACTCGATACCTACTACGGTCTGGCCCCCCAGGGCCTGTGGCCTAATCTTCTCTGGGATGCTCACACCCTGGCCAGTTATAACACTCTCTTTTCCAAATAGCCCTGTTTCAGCTCTCAAATAATCATTTCTCACTTTCTTTTGCTTTTCTGCCGGGAGCTACAGGGTCGGGGGTTGGGTGGAAAAGAAAACCTCAATTTTCCAAATCTCCTTGGCAATAAAATGTTTTCCCCAAGCAAAACTAAAGGAGAGCTGTAGTCCTTCAGGGTAAAACTAGATATCTGGTACCACTTGGAGAACAGCAACGCTGTCTCACTTCCAAGGGCAAAACTGGTCAAAATCAGTCTCAATATCAAGTTCACTGTTGTGAACAATGGAGAGGACTCTTTCTCTGGTTTACCCTAATTATAGTTAAAATAGCTACTATTTATTGGGCAGCTTACATGCATTAAATCTGCATCTTCCTCCCAGCTGTGCCGTCACTGGGAGATTGGAACAACAAGGTGAGAATAAGGTCAAATTCTTGGGATGTTAAGTTGAGCTGGTGGTGGGATCAGCCCCTCTAGCCTGTAGCAGCTCAGCCCTCGGTGCCACAATGAAAACCATCAGTGGCTGCAGAGCCCAGAGGTCAAGTATGTGGCCTCTGAAATCTGACCGCCGGAGTCTGTGCCCACTGGCTCTGCCATCTTGGGCAAGTTATTTAACTTCCAGGAAAATGGGGGTGGGGAGAGGGGGAACTCAGTTTGTTCATCTATAAAATAGGGACTGTAGTGGCCCCTTTCTCATTGACTTCTTGTGAAGCATAAATGAAATAAAAATGTAAAGCTGTTGGTATCCTACTGGGTAAATAGCAGGAGCACAAGTATTAGCTATTAATGTTATAACGTTTTCATAGCCCTGAGGCTTGCCACATTGTTTCAGAAGTTGGCCAAGGTGACTAAGGAAGGGAGCTGGCTTGAGACAGCTGGTGGGAAGGACATCCAAATGCAGTGTAAGCCCAGGCTGGGCCTGTCCACATGGCTGCCACCTGACCCCAGGAATAAGTTGTGTGAAACACCCCTTGGTTGGGGGTGAACTTCCGGGCAAATGCTTTAGCTGCACCAGCTCAGCTAGGGGTCTAGTAAGTTTCTCCTCACTCTGCTTAGATCTCTGCATGAGACACAGACAGACAGAAAGGAGACCATGGGCCAGAGACAAGGGCTGAAAGAAAATGTCAGAATTTCAAGCTCCTCTGTCAGCAATGCGGTATACCCTCAACTCTCCAATGTGCCAGAATGTGAAAGTGCCCTTCAGCCCCACCCAGAATTCCACCACAGCTCCCCATGCCCATTCTCAGAGCTGCCCATTTTGGTCTCCTTCAGGTAGAAGATTCTGGAACAGGCCTTCAGAGACAGGCAGCATGAAAGGATGATCACGTCTTGGCTGGGTGTGAGAGGCGCTTACAGGGCTTTTTGTCTTCCTTGTGTGCCAGGGGAATTTGCAGGGTCAGGGAAGAACTCGGGTCACTGTTCTAAGGGATATATTCTAACAGACATTCCTGTGCTAGAGCATGGGCTGTAAATCAAAGAACTGCTTTGAAATTAAAAAATAACAAAAGTTATATTACCATAGAGGGGATGGATTCAGTTCCTATCCTTCAGTTCACTTACAAACAGTGGAGTTCAGGCACCTGAAATAAACACACGTGTGTACACACACACATGCTCAGTGCCGTCCACTCTCATGTATCGATCTGGGCTACCTCTGAACTTGCTGTCAACTTATGAAAGTCCAACTATCCACCAAGTGTAAAAATCATACCACAGACCAGTAGAGTAAAATGCTGTACATGTACATTTTAGGTAGTCTAATTTTTATTCTATATACTCCTATACAAATTAGACATTTATACATATATTCATATATAGGTAAGTGTCCAGGGCTATATTCAGGAAAAAAAAAAAACCTATATGCTGTATTTTATGGGCAATTTCAGGGACATTCAAGGGTAAATTTCATTGCACGTAACCTTGACCTTAACAGGCAGATTTTAACCCCTATGATCATTATAATCTCTGTTCATTACTATCTGTATGGATTTTCTTAGCAAAATCCCCACCTCCACCCCCAACTCAGCTTGCTTCTACCCCCAGCACCCTCTGACGACTTATTAAATAAGTCTTTAAATAAGCACATTCCAGTCAAAGACGTGCTGGTCTTCCCAAATCAAAGAAGCCAATCTGCCCTCCTCATACAGATTGAAAAAAATAGAAGAATTAGTGAAAAGTGTGAAATACAAACTATTCTTAATGGAACAGAGATTCATTCACTTAATTATATGTAATAGCTTAAACCAGGCTAGCAAAATAGTCATCGAAAAGAGATTTTTAGAAGGCCTGCTTTAATGAAGAAATAAAAATTAGTGTTTTAAGGAATGGGAGTGGGTGCTTCTAATATATTTGTTTTCTGAAATAGACACTGTCTGCTTGACAGTTGGGTTTTTGGTATTTACTTGCTCAGTGTGACTGTTTTTATTCTTTAGGATAAATAAGTTTTAGCTCAGCCTTTATCTCAATTAAATAACGGAATCCCAGTTAAGGAGATAGCAGTAATGGTATAAACCCAGTATTGGATTTATTTTTTTAATTTTATAATTTTATAATTACCCAGACTTTTACTCATTTCCCTGAAAACAGGCTATGATGGATATTTACACATTAAAAATGCCTTTATGATAATAGCAGTTCATATTTATTGAGCACATATATTAGGCCAAGTACTATGCTAAGCACATTACATGCATTATCTCATTTACAGCAAACCTGTGGGGGGGCACTATTATTATCCCTATTTTACAGATGTACCAGGAACTGAGGCATAAAGAGGTTGTTCAAGATGCGGTACAAGCTCCAGGCAGTCTGATTCAGGTTCGCTCCTCTGCTGGGTCAGGAGAGTTTGAGTAAAGCATAAGTTTTGATGATACAGAAGGCATTCTTTGCCTGCCTGTATCGTGAAGGCCCCTGGCCCTATACGTAAGCCTGGTGAGAAAGTTCCTCACGGAAGACCAGTTAGTCTGGCCTCAAATCCAGTCGCTGGTGGCATGGGCCAGCTCCAGAACTACCACAGGCCCCAAAAACCAAGACCAGGTGGGAGGATGGAAATAACTCTCCCAACTCAGTTCCATTCATCATCAAATGCATGCAAATTTTTAAAAATTAAAAGAAATTATTTTGTCCTATTTTATTATTAAACTGGCACTGTTTTTCTTTTGTCTTTCTTTTGTATTTTTATTGGTATATCGTAGTCATACATATTTTTGGTTATACAAGTAATGATTTGTGTATACAACATGTAATGATCAAATCAGGGTAATTGGGATACCCAACACCTCAAACATTTATCTTTTCCTTGAGGTAGGAACATTACAATTCTTCTAGCTATTTTGACATATGTAATTAATTATTGTTAACTAACTATAGTAAATATATTTATATTAATATATATTATACTATATTATATTGTTTTATTGTAATATATAGTATATATCACACATAAGATTATCATAATACATTATATTTTATATATAAATATATAAAAATATGTATAATTTTATACATAAATTTTATATAAATATTTATATTTACATATTATATTGTTAAATATAATTTTTCTACTGTACTATCAAATGCTATAACTTGGCTGGGCACGGTGGCTTATGCCTGTAATCTCACACTTTGGGAGGCTGAGACAGGCAGATCAGTTGAGGTCAGGAGTTTGAGACCAGCCTGGCCAACATGGTAAAACCCTGTCTCTACTAAAAATACAAAAATTAGCCAGATGTGGTGGCACACACCTGTGATCCCAGCTACTCAGGAGGCTGAGTCAGGAGAATCACTTGAACCCGAGAGGCAGAGGTTGCAAAGAGCCGAGATCATGCCATTGCACTCCAGCCAGAGTGACAAGAGTAAGACTCCGTCTCAAAAAAAGAAAAAAATAAAATACTATAACTTATTTCTTCTGATTATATTTTTGTATTCATCTTTCTTTTTTTCAAGTGAGATTATCCATTGTTTTCAAGAGGCTTTCTTAGTTTGGCTGTGTGAAGCACATCTTCATGACTTTTGACCTAGTTCTGAGAATGTAACCCTAAAAAATCCTAAAATGTAGGCACAAATACATTCATCATAGTGTTATTTCCAGAAGTGGAAAATATGAAATATTGTGCAGGCGCAGAGGGTGGAGGGGTGGAATTATGTGACATGGTAGTTATACAAAATGGAATATGAGGCCACAATTAAACAAGGACTTTTTCATAGCATGGTAACGAATAAGGGGACCTGATTAGCAGGGCATTCTTAACTGCAGTTCCAAAAGAAGAATTCAGCTTCAGCCTTTCATTCATTCATTCATTTAACAACTGTATATTTCATATCATTATGAGCCACACATTGTGGTAGGTTCTGGATACTCCCAGGTTTTAACAAGATATTGGTCTTGTCATAATGGAGCTGACATTCCAGTAGGAAGACAGATGTTAAAGAAAGAATTACCCAATTACAGGGTGCTTTGCAGCAGATAACCAGGTCAGGAAGGTTTCTCAGAGGAAATGGGCTTTGAATTGAGTTCTGAAGAATTTACCAGGCCAAAGTTGAGGTGGTACAGTATGCACAGAGAGGGAGAGGAGAGCTCCAATCAGAGAGATTGGCATATGCAAAGGCCTGGTAATGTAAGGGACATATCAGAACAACAACTAAAAGAAATGCATGTGTTGAGTAGAGAATGGTACCAGATGAATCTGCAGAGGCAAAGACAGACTCTAAGGATTGCAGGTCTTTAGGAGTTGGCATACTTTGTCTACAAAGTGCCAGATAGTAAAGATTTTAGTCTTGAAGGGCCAAGAGGCAAAATCAATGATATTATGTATGTATTTGTATGTCAAGAGAGAAAATAAATTTACACAAAATTTTTTTATTGGTTAAATTCAAAATACAATTATAATAACTGAGTATAGTTTTTTCTAATACAGATCACCTGAGGAGATGAATGGGATATTGGGGGAGGAAAATATTTTGCTCAATTAGTGTTCTTTATTATCAAAAGAGATTGTAAATGTTTATCTGTTAATGCTGACCTGAAATGAGATATTATATATTTCAATCTTTCTAAATGCCTTTCAGCATGCATTGATATTGCCAAACACTGATATCTGTCCATAACCATATAATGTTAATTAAACGTATTCATGACTTGGCAGGCATGTATAGAATTCTATTAGAGTTTTCTCTTGATATTTGCCTTTTAGCATGTCACTACATTGCATATTAATCAGTTGCAATTAAACATGAGATAGAAGCTCCTCAATTGTTAGTTAAATGGATTTTGACATATAAAGATTTCCTTTGCATTTATATCAAAGTCTGAAAAACAGTGCTGGAACTGCAGTTTAAGTTCAAAAAATATATAATAGAGAAGTCATTTCCTGTTTTAACTTTTGACAGCATGGAAAGTGTATAAAACAGTCTATGATCCAAACAGTGTTGTCAATGAAATTACTTTATCATAGTGTAAGTTTTGCCTGTAAGAACAGTGCCTTGTAATTTTAGGTACAATCCATTAAGAAACATGATCAACTCTGAAGCAAAAGCTAATATTCAGAGCCATTAAGTGTTGAATTACAGTGATCGAGAACAGTTCTAGTTCAAAAAATTTTAATCTTGACCCTGAGCTCAAAAATCAAAATAAAACTTTAACCCACTGCTAAACCATCAAATTGCTGTGTAGTAGGACAAGTCAAGGTGTTGAGCTTTCAGTTCTGACAAAAAAAATTACAAAATGGATGATGGGTAAGTCCGTGATAGAAAATAAAGTTCACTATTGACACTACTAGTTCTATAGCACTTGATAGATCAAATATTTTCCACAAAGTACCAGGTAATGAATAGTACAGTGAATAACCATAGGCTTTAAACACCTAACAGTTTCATAAGCTTTGTACATTTGTCCAAATAAAACTTTTTATGTTCCACACATATTTTTACTACCATCAGTTGTCAACACATCTTAGCAGATTCCACTTCAGTTGTTTTGCAGTTCTTTTCCAACCTTTTTGAAATATTCTCACCTGTACTTGTTCCACAAACTATTTCACTAGTTCCACTAGACTCTTCTCCTCAAAGAAATGATAACACCTGAATAACATCAGTAATATGTGTGGACCCATCAAGAGCCAGTGAAAACCACTCAAAATAATCTGCTTTGTTTTTTTTAATTGACTGTTGATGTGGTTCCCACTGTTATTAGCTTTTCAAGCAATAGTCGTTGCCAAAAGGGTAGTTAAGTTTATTTTCTCTGGACACGTTTCTTCAGATGTTGCAGTTAAACAGGATTTAATGAACTCATCATTGGTAAATTGTTTTCTTTGCTTGGCTAACAAATAAGCAACTTGGAAACTTACTCATTTTCATTTTTTTTTATTTTTTGTGGAGGGATTATGCTATGCTGGGATATTCCATTTTAAATTTTCTAAATTTTTGACCATTGTTTTTCTGTGAATTGGGAATATTGTGATGAGTATTTAGTTTGGTGATGGTATATATTGTATTCTTTTAGCACAGCTATAGTGTCATTTCATAATAATCATAATGCTTTGTCATCTAAATTTGATAACAAAATAATCCACATGCCATTGTACCTTAAAAGGGCAACATTCAAAGTCTACTTCCTCTTCTTTTCTTATTTGTCATAATGGTGTACTCTGGTAATAAGCACATAAAGTGTAATGATCTAGCAATACACACATCACTCAAAACACTCTCAAGTTAAAACAATGTCACTGTGATTTGTTGTGCACCAAGAAGTAGTATGAAGCTGAGACTCAATTCTGTTTTTGCATCGTGAAAGCAGCTATAGACATCAGGTAAATTAATGAATGTGGCTGTGTTCCAATAAAACTTTATTAATAGACACTGAAATTTGAATTTCATATGATTTTATGTGTCAAGAAATATTAGTTTGGGTTTACTTTTTCTCAATTATTTAAAAATATAAAAATCATCCTTAGCTTGCAAGCCATATAGAAACAGGTAGTAGGGTGGATTTGGCTCACAGGCTGAAGTTTGCCAGCCCCTGCTTTAGACCATGGTGAGTATGTTGGGCTTCACGTCAGTTCAGAAGGCCTGCTCACTGTGTGTATAAGAACGTTTTTCCAAAAAGCCAGTGCAGGCCCTGAAAACATTAACCAAGCAGGTAGCCTAAGATGATGCATCTCCTTGCAGGATGGTACCCGAGTCATAGGGAAATGCGGTGGTTACTGTGGAAAATGCACTCCATCCTCTGGTACTGGCCTGGAGGTGCGAGTTTTATAAGTAAGGTAAGTAGTCCTATGTCTGTCTGTCTGTCTTTTATTTTTTTCTGTAGCCTATATGAGCAAATGTGGGACGATCGGGGAGAGTTACAGTTAAGCATCTTGAAGCTGACCCAATACTGTTCTGCCTTTTTATCTCCTGCTTCTCTGTCCTCACGTGACTGAAGCCATCAGTTCTCTACTGTTTAACATGGGTTCCCCTCTACAGAGCTGGCCTATTTATTTATTTGCTTTTAGATTTTAGATTCAGGAGGTACATGTGCAAGTTTATTAGGCTGATACAATGTGTTGAGATGTAGGCTTCGTTTGAACCCATCACCCAAATGGTGAACGTGGTATCCAATAGGTAGTTTTCCCTTTCCTTCCTCCTCCCTTTTGGAGTCACCAGTGTCCATTATTTCAATCTTTATGTCTGTGTGTACCCAATGTTCTACTCCCACTTAATAAGCAAGAGCATGTGGTATTTGGTTTTTTGTTTCTATGTTAATTCACTTAGGAAAATGGCCTCCAGCTGCATCCATATTGCTGCAAAGGACATGATTTCATTCTTTTTTATGGCTGCATAGTATTCCGTCATGTATACAGACCACAGTTTTTAAATCCAATTGACCATTAATGGGCACCTAGGTTGATTCTACGTTTGCTATTGTGAATAGTGCTGCAATAAACATGTGAGTGTAGGTGTCTTTTTGGTCGAATGATTTATTTTCTTTTAGATATATACCCAGTAATGGATTGCTGGGTCTATTTTAGGTTGTTCTATTTTAGTTCTTTAAGAAATCTCCAAACTACTTTTCACAGAGGTTGAACTAATTTACGATCCCATCCACAGTGTATTCCATTTTTTCCTGCAATCTCACCAATATCTGTTATCTTTTAACTTTTTAAGAATAACCATTCTGATTGGCATGAGATGTTATCTCTCTGTTGTTTTGACTTGCATTTCTCTGATGATTAGTGATGTTCAGCATTTTTTCATGTATTTGTTGACTGCTTGTGTGTCTTCTTTTGAGAGGTGTCTGTCCGTGTCCTTTGCC